TTTTTTTTTGCTACAATAGATATTATTGTTTCTAATTCAGCTTGGTGATGGAATATATATGCAATATATAATTTAGATCGTTCAAATATTATCTGAATACTGCCATCTCTATATAGTTAAGTTGTTTTAAGATATAGGAAAATGCTACTGTTCCGTTAAGGAATCATTCCGTCGGGGTTTGTAGACGTTAGATCATCATGTAACTGTCAGGGATAGTTGATTTAACGGTACAAACCTCGACGGAATAGTTCCGTAACGGGACCATAGCATTTCCCTAATATACAATACCCATTGGGTAATTCTATTTTTTCTTCTATCAAATTATATACAATGAAATATATAGTAGTATATATAATATATAGGCATTTTGATGTTAACATAATGTGCTATGCAAAATAATTCGCACATGTCCGTACTAATGTAAATAATCAACCAATTTTAATGTAAGAAAAATTGTAATTGTGGAGAGAGTGCAGGTATAATTTCTTTCCCATAAGTAGACAACCTTGACAAGTAAATTCGATTGCACTCTTTTGGTATTTATTTTATTTTATTTTTTTATTTTCGGCAATATTGATTTGGAGATATAAAGTGAGGACAGATGTCCATTGAATTGTGAAAGCGAGTGACGAGAGATGTATACTTTATTCCAACCAAACGAAAGTGTGATACGTGGAAGGTGTTGGATGTGGTCAGAAGCTATCCATTTAATTGGTTGAGTTACAAATAAAAGAATATAGTATTTAATATCTTGCTTAGATAGCTTGTTTGTAGACATGGCCACAGGCCGGACCGGCCCGAACGGTATTGGTACCGGCATGAATAGAGCCGATTTTTTTAACCGGACTACAGCCAATCCGGTCTGGGTCACGATTTTTTTTTTGTCCTGACGGGCCGGGCCGGATTGGGACCGGGTGGCCCACTGCCGGGTTTGGACCCACCTCTTTTATTTTTATTTATTTATAATATTTTAATGCCCGGGTCGGGCCGGGTTGGGCCGGCCCAACCCGACCCGTCTGATAGCTGACAATAAAAAGAAGCCGTTGGGCCCGGGTCTCGGGCCGGGCCGGGCCGGGCCCAACGGTCTGAATTAATTAAAAAATTAAAAATAAAAAAAATGCTGGCCGTTGGATCATTATAGCCGTTGAGATCCAACGGTCGTGGTACCTTGATCCGGCTCCGACCCGCCGGTGCCGCCCGACCCGGCGGGTCCCGAAAAAAAAAACAGAAAAATCGGTTTTTAATAAAAAAAAAATCCAAAAAAAATTCTATAAATACCGCCCCCCTCCCCCTCATTTTCCACA